TCCCCCCCCTCCCCTCCCGCGACCCCCGCCGCCCCTCTCCCGGCTCCCCCAAATCCCCCCGGTTGGCAGAAATAATGTGGGAAAAAGAAGTTGGGGCGGCGGTGGGGCTGGGGGGGGGGGCGGTGGGGGTGGTGTAGGAAAAGCAGCAGCACCTCCGGGAGAAAAACGCCCCGGGAGAAAAGGGCTGCGAGCACAGGGTTAATTTAATCACCCAAAAGAAAAAAAAAAAAAAAAAGAAAAGAAAAAAAAAAAAAAAAAAAAAAGAAAAAAAGAAAAGAAAAACGAAAAAAAAAAAATAAACAGAAAAAAAAAAAAAGAAATAGGGTATTTTAATTTTTTTTCTTTTTTTTTTTTCAATGAGGGGGGAGGTGGGGGAGGGTGGAGGGGGAGGAAGCGGCCGGGGGCGGGTGGGGGGAGGAGGAGCGGGGCGGGCGCGGGGTTGCGCGGGGGCGGAGGGGGTTGCGCGGGGTGCGGGTGTTTCCCCCCCCGCCGCCGTTCTCCGGGGCTGACGATTTTTAGTCTGTTTTGTCTCGGCATCCTTAGGAGTCGGTTACGGGGCCGACCGCCGGCGGGGCCGCCAGATTTATTCCCGTTATCAAACCTTGGAGCTGGAGAAGGAATTTCACTTCAACCGGTACCTGACCCGGCGGAGGCGGATCGAGATCGCCAACGCGCTCTGCCTGACGGAGCGGCAGATCAAAATCTGGTTCCAAAACCGGCGGATGAAATGGAAAAAAGAAAGTAATTTGAGTTCCACGCTCTCCGGGGCGGGAGGGGGGGCGGCCGCCGCCGCCGCCGACAGCTTGGCCAAGGAGGAGAAGCGAGAAGAGACAGAGGAGGAGAAGCAGAAGGAGTGAAGAAGTGACAGCTCGGCGGCAGGACCCCCCCCCCAAACACACACACACGCTGCGACCCCCTCCTCCCCGCCCCCCCTCCCCCCGTATTTATCACTGGCACAATGTTTGGCTACTTAAAAAAAAAAAAAAAAGGAAAAAAAAAGGAAAAACAAAGGAAAAAAAGGAAAAAAAAAAAGGAAAAAAAAAAAAGAGTAAATAATAATAATAATAATAATAATGAGGGGGGGAGGTGAAACAATAATGTCTGAGGTGGGTGGAAATGTGGACACCCCACCCCCCTCCCTGCTCTCTCCGGTGCCCCCCACCCCGCACACGCATCTCCGCCATCGCCTATTTATCTGACTCGGGATGAGAACTGTTCCCAGCCGCACACTCCCCCTTCCTGCCTCCCCCCGGCCCTCCGCCTCCCCCCACCCCAAATTGGGCAGCCACCCTCCGCTCTGCCGGCTCGGACTCTGCCCAGTCGCTTCTCCTCCTCCTCCTCCTCCTCCCCCCCCAGTCCCCAGCCAGAGCAATTCTTCCTCCCCCCACCCCGGGGAAAAAAAAAAATAATCTGATTTTCCCTGAGGAAAAAAAAAAAGGAAAAAAGAAAAAAAAAAGCTCCTTCCACCCAAATCTCGCCTTTCCAAGAGCGTCCTCCTTGTATTTAAGCAGCTACCTGGGCTCATCACCGCATACTACAAACTGTGACAGTTTCTGTGTGAATATTTTTAACTGTGTTTGTGGTACCTGTATTTATATTTATGTTTAGCACTGTAATGTTCCACGGTATAAAAGTGAATGGAGTTCTATAGCGGTAGAAACAAAAGAAAAAAAAAAAAAAAACCTTTAAAAAAAAAAAAAAAAAAGAAATAAAAAATCTTGTGTTACGCCCTCTCATGTATAAAGTCACGTCCAGAGGACTATGTCGAGTATTTAATAAAATCTGAATATTATTTTTAAAAAGTTTATAGAACGGCCTCTGAGCTTCAGTCGAAACCTTTCTCTGTGGTCGAGAAGAGCCTGTTAGAAAAGTTCACTTCTCTTCTGTGTGTTGTTCCTGAAAATCAGCTCCCTCTCTCCTTTTCCTCCCTCCTGCTCCTACAAGAGTACTCCAAAAAAAAAAAAAGAAAAAAAAAAGAAAAAAAAAAGAAAAAAAAGAAAAAACAAAAAAAAAAAAAAGAAGGAAAGGGAAAAGAAAAAAAAAAAGAAAAAAAGCAAAGGGAGGGGGGAATTACATTTTGCTTTGTCTCCTTGGATTAGTCTTGTTACTGTATTGTTCGGTGGCATCAGGAATCTATGCCATACCTCTCGCTTCATGATTAAAAATGGATTTCCAAAGTTCAAACCAGTATATATTTCTTATTGCTCCCTCCTCGAGCCAAAACCCCCCAGGGCAAAGGTTGTGCTTCGATTTCATTATTTATTTATTTATTTATTTATTTATTTATTTATTTATTTATTTATTTTAAATGATTCTTCTCACCATTATTTTTGGTCTCGTTCGAGCTCTTCTGCCGAGCTGAGAATCCCCCGGCTCTGCGGAAGGACCCGTTGCCCCCCTCCCGCCTCTCCCTCACCTCCTCCCCGACTTATTTCAACCCAATAAAACCTTTCCGGGGAACGGGGGGAGGGGGCGAAAAGTCTTTTTTTTTTTTTTTTTTAATGCAAGAACCTCATCCTTAGGAGCTCGGAAATTGTGGATATAACGCTGGGAAAGCAAAGCCCGCTGCTGTGGAATGGCAGCCTCGGATAAACCGCTGCAAAGGCTGGATAAAAAAAAACCCAAAAACCCCACAAAAAACCCACCCAAAAACCTGCGTTTTCCTCGTCTCTTTGTCACCGCTCTGATATTTGCTGGGAATTCCGTAGGTAACACTGAGCCAGGGATGATAAATCCCTGCGAGCGACCCAGTCCCCTTCCAGGGCTTGAAGGAAACAACCAGGATTCGGTGTTTGAGTGGCTGTAAACCAGGAAGGACAAAAAAAAAAACCCAACAAAACAGGGAAATAATAATAATAAAAAAAAAAAAAAAGCAGCCCGGGGAGGTTTTTTTTTTTCCGCCCATCCTTTACTCGTCTCCAGCCTGGAAGGCGCGGGCGGCTCGTGCAGAGCGCAGGAAAGACGGAACAAAAATAATAAATCTCTCTTAAAACGAACGAAAACAAGGAAAGCGACGACCCCGACAGCCAAAAAGCACCGGCGAGGAGAAGCCCGAGGGCGCTCGGCGAGGGGGCAGCGACCTGGCCAAGGGAGCAGGAGGTGGAAAACGGCCGGAATTTCGCCCCCCACCCCAAAAAACCAGGATAAACCCCCACCCCCGCCAAGCCCAAAGCGCCCAAATTTCAAAGTATCTCCACGAGCGCACAAATATGAGCCGAGGGAGGACGAGATGGAACCCCCGGAGCACTCGGGGCTTTCTCTGGCGGCTCAAAGGAGGAGGAAGAGAGGGAGAAACGTGCTCGGAAAGGTCCTCTCGGAGCCCGGAGCGGCCCGGGGGGGGTCGGGCTGCGCTGCCCCCTCTCCCCCCGCCCCCCTGAGTTCACCCCCGGCTCGGCGGGGCTGGAAATTCGGATTTTGGGAAGGTATTTATTTCCCCCTCCGCCTCGCCCTTTGAAGAGCGGGGCTGGTTTGTGCAGCCAGGGGCGGACAAGGAAGATCCAGGCTCCTGCCAGCAATAAATTGCACCAAAAGAGGAAAAAAAACCACCCCAAAAAAAAAAAAAAAAGAAAGGCGGAGGTGGGGGGGAGACGAAGAAGGTACCAGGAATGTAAACTTTGGCGCATTGGAGGAGCCGCCCCGGGAGAGAGCCCCCGCAGGATGCAGGAGTGAAAAACCCCCTCGGTGAACGCTGCGGGAAAGGGATTTTTTATTTTTTTTTTCCCCCCTCGCGGCCGGCGGAAAAAAAAAAAAAACAAAAAAAGGAAAAAAAAAAAAAAAAAGGAAAAAACAAAACAAAGAAAAAAAAAGAAAAAGAAAGAGGGGAAAAAAAAAAAAAAAACACCCTGAAAATTCAAAGTGAAATGAAAAAGAAAATTAAAAATGTGGCGGAGGCGACGCGGGGGGCGTGCACACACCCGCCGTCAGTCGAAAAACCAACGTGTCATTTCTCCTGTCTTCTTTTTGGCGAGCTGCCCCCGCGATGTTTTAATTAATTGTTTTAATTGCTTATTCGGATCTTTTACTCTCCCGTCCTCGGGAGGGGGAAAGAAGCAAAATAAATAAATAAATAAATTAAAAAAAACGGAATTATTGCGGGAACCGCGAGCCCCCCGGAGGTGGAAGGGGGCGGCGGGGGGGATGTTTCGGGGTGCGGGCGGTTGCGCGGGGGGGTGCGGTGCCGCGGAGGAGCACTAGGTGCCGCTGCCGCCTCGCCGTCCCGCAGCGCGCTCCGCCCGCGCTCCCCCGCGCACCCCCCGCGGGCGCCTCCGCGGGCGCCCATCAATAACCCGGCCCGGGGTCAGCCGCGCAAATTGATGAGTGGCCGGCGCCGCTCACGTGACGCCACTTAAATATCCCATATTTGGGCAGGGGGAGGAAGAAGAAGGGGGGAATCAAAAAAAAAAAAAAAAAAAAAAAAAAAAAAATAAAAAGGGGAGAAGAATCCCCACCTATAAATTCTGCACTTTTAGGAGGGGATAAAATGCCCCCCCCCCCTCCCCTTCCCCTCCTCGCCTCGCGCAGCCCTGAACTTCCAAAGGGCCACAAATCAACCCCCCCCTTTAAGCGAAGAGGTTTAAAAAAAAAAAAAAAAAAAGGAAAAAAAAAAAGAAAAAGAAAAAGGGAAGGAAAAAGAAAAAGGGAAGGGAAAAGAAAACGGCAACAAAAAAAAAAAAAAAGAGGGGATAAAGGGGGGGAAAAGAAGGGGGAAGAGGTAAAAAGAGATAAAAAGAAGAAAAAGAGAAGGATAAAAGGAGGGAGGAAAGAGGAAAAAAAGAGGGGGGAAAAGAGGAGAACGGAAGAAAAAAAGGAAGAATAAAGAGGGGGAAAAGAAGAAAAAGAAGCGAAAAGAGGGGGCAAAAAAAGGAAGGGGAAAAGGGAATTAAAAAGAGGGGGCAAGAAAAAAAGTCCCCCTCTTCTAAATTTTCCTACCCCCCCTTCTTTTTCCTTTTTGTATTTTCTTTCCTTCCCCCCCCTCCCGACCCCCCCACGACTCCTCCGCCATGAGTTCTTACGTCGCCAACTCGTTTTACAAGCCAAGTCCCCCCGTTGCTGCCTATTCCATGCAAAGTTATGGAAATTATGGAAGTGTCGGCGAGGTCGAGCCGCCCCGGTACCGCTCGGAGCTGAGCGGCCCCCTCCCCTCCCCGGGCGGCTCGGCCATGGCGGGGACCCCCCGAGCCGCCCCCGAGCGCCCGCCGTGCCCGGCGCTGGGGCCCGCGGGGCATCCCGTGGGCAGAGAGGAGCGCCCGGCGGGCCGAAAGCCCGGGATTTACGGTGCCAGGAGCGGGAACGCGCCGCTGGAGGAGCGAGCCCGGAGCGCGGCGGAAATCAAAGCCGAGCCCGCGCAAGCGGCGCAGCAAGGAGGACCCCAAGTGCAGCAGCAACAGCCGCCGCAAATTTACCCCTGGATGACCAAACTGCACATGAGCCATGGTAAAAAAACAACTTTTCGCTTCTCCGTTTTTTTTTTTTTTTTCTTTTGTTTGGCGGATTTTTTTTTTTTCCTCCCTCCCCCAACTGTTTTTCCCCCCTTTTTTTTTTCCCCACGTTTTTTCTCCCCCGCTTTTTTTTTTTCCCCACTTTTTTCCCCCCACCTTTTTTTTTCCCACCTTTTTTCCCCCCACTTTTTTCCCCCACCTTTTTTTTCCCACCTTTTTTTTCCCTCCACCTTTTTTCCCTCCACCTTTTTTTCCCTCCACCTTTTTCCCCCCTTTTTTTCCCCCTTTTTTTTTTTTTTTTTTTTTTGCCTTGGGTTTTTATAGGCCATACGGGGCAAATAATAAAAAACCTGAGGTCGTAAATTTTACGACTAAGGCATCAATTGCTCGTAAAACTGTCCACTAAAAGGCTTAGAGGCTATATACGCCCAAATTTATGACGGCATAATTGGATCATAGAAACAAAACGTGTATAAAAGGTAATATTCCATTTTTTTGGGGAAGGGGGGGGTTAAAAATAACTTGAAATACACATGTTCTTTGAGGGTGAGCCGGGGGAAAAAAAAGAAAAAGAGGAAAGAAAAGACACCAGAGGCGAAGGTGGAGGGAAAACCTGGAGAGATTTTCCCCCCTCCGCCTTCCCAGGGCTGAGAGGAGGGGGGGAAATAATAAAAAGGACAAGATTCCCCCCCCCCCGAAAAGATCTTTGCCTGCTTTGTACACTTCCTTCTTGTCCGAGAGGGAACAGGTTCACTCCTGGCTCATCTCCGTGGGTTTGATCCGCGCTTTAGGAGGGGAGGAAGGGGGGACTCGGGGGCCGAAGGTCTTGGGGAGTGAAGGATTTGAGGCTCCTTCGCTCCCCGCGTGCCCAAAGCCCCGGGAAACTTCTGTACCTTCGAGATTTTGTGACGGGTTATATTGTTCAAAAGAGAAAGATAGCGATGGCAATAATACCAATAAAACAAGTCCAAATCCCTCCAGAACTGCTTCGGCTTTTCGTGCCGTGTCCCTTCCCTCTTTATTTGAATTTATTTTCTTTCCCCCCCTCCAGAGACGGATGGGAAACGCTCCCGAACCAGCTACACCCGCTACCAAACTCTGGAACTAGAGAAAGAATTTCATTTTAACAGATACCTGACGCGGCGGAGGCGCATTGAGATCGCCAACAACCTCTGCCTGAACGAGAGACAAATCAAAATCTGGTTTCAAAACCGGAGGATGAAGTGGAAGAAAGATTCCAAGTTGAAAAGCAAAGAGGCTCTTTAGGTGGGATTGCAGGAGGTCTGGGGGGGGCTTCCCCTGCTTTTTTTTTGGGTTGTTTTTAATGATTATTAATATTATTATCATTATTATTTTTTTAATTTGTATTTTCCATCGTTTCTGGCGGAAGCGACCTTGAGGAAACTTGGATTTTGGGGTGGGCAGGGAGGGAGCTGCTGGATGGACTCTGGTCCGTACCCTTCACAAATCCCTCAGACAAAGGAAATCTCTTATTAATATGCAAAAAGGAGAGGAAAAAAAAAACACCTCCTCAACAAACCGACAACCCCGTTTGTGTTCGCGCAGAAATTTCGTGTCTCTGTCCTTGGGTTGTTACGAAGTGTCCGAACCTGTGCGCTCTTTGGGGGGAAAACCATCCAACCGAACAAAAAGCAGGGCGAAAAAAAAAGGCTTAAAAAAAACCCCAAACCAAACAACACCGGGTCGCGGCACCTCTAAAAACCGCGATATTCCCAGGAAAAGCGTGAAAAAGGGCCGGTGAAGAAGGAGGAGAGGGGGAGAGAAAAAAAGGGAAATAAAGTGGGGGGAATAAAAAAAAAGGCGCCCCAAAGGCACTAAGTTTGGTGAAGCCTCAGCCTGGCGCTCTGCTCCTGAGGGGAGCCGGGAATTGCTGCTCTGCTTGGCTGGAATCGCCCCGGGAAGATGCTCTGGCGCCCAAGGGGGGAAATGTTGCCCCTCTCTGGCGTTCGGCACCCTAAAAACCCCAAACGCGCCCTAAAAACCCCCGGCGAGGGGTCGGAGTGGCCTCGGGGGGGGGGGATATTTGGAGATTTTCATGTTTCGCTGCGTAATTTTATTATTATTCGCGTATAAAAGAGGCCGGGGGGAGGGGAGGGGGGGGGAGGGCGGCGAACACCCCGTTTTTCGCGCGAATCCTCCGATCAATTTTGGGTTTTTCTGGGGGGGGGGGGTGGTTAGGAAAGTGCAGCTCGGGAGGGGGAGGGGGAGGGAGAAACCACCTCTGGGCTCGATATCACTGTGTATTTATTTGTCGCGTAACTGTGGATCTGCTAAATGCTCGATTATCTATTAAAGGCAGCCGAGGCGAACCCCCTTTTGTACATCTCTGTCTAAATTCGGTCCCCGGCAGTAAATTCTTTCATTTCTCCCCCCCCTTTTTCCCCCAGCGGTGCCCTCGGTGTATTTATTTATTAGTTGTCGTTTCAGCCGCCAAAAGGGCCGATGAAACTTCTATTTTGTCACATGGAATAAACAGGAAAATGCACCCAAAGTTGGCGGATATTCCTGTGCTCCTTCCCCGCCTTCGGAGCAGCTCCTGCTCCTCTCGCTACTTTGGCGAAGTATTGATTTATTGGAACGCACTGCTCTTTATTTATGTTCTTAAAAAGCAGGTTTCGGGAGGGAGGAAAGGGATGATCTTAGAGCATCCTTCCCCCTAACCCCTGGAAAAGGTACGTGCTGCTTTTCCTATTTCCCAGAGAATGGAAAAAGAGGGGAAAAGGGCTTTTTTTCTTAAAATTTGGTGCCGCAGCTCTGGCTGGGCCCTGAGGAAGGTGAGCTGCTCCCTGGGCCAGTTCGGACTTTTTAATCTTTATTCCTCTCAGGCTTTTCATTCCAGGCTGGTGTCCTCGCCTGGCAGATGGCATTTTAATAGGAATATGGGATTAAAATTACCTTCTCTCTCTCTCTCTCTCTGTTTCTCTCTCCTCCCCCCTCCCGTCTCCCCAACGTATACTCGGGATAAAATGATTTTTGCCCCCAAAATCTCGCGGCCGTCGCCTCTCGCTGCAGGTCGGACGCGGGAAGGAGGTCCCAGTGCCCGACTGGAGGTGACTGGGATGGGGATGGGGGCGCGGGGGGGGCTGTGGGGGGAAGGGGGGGCCCTGAGGAACCCCCTTCTCCAGAGGGGAGCAGCCCTTGGAGCGGGATGGGGGGGGAGAGGCTGCGGGGGAGGGGAGGGGCTGCGCTTCCCTCCTTGATTTTTATGTGTATATATATTTATTTATTTAAAGAAAAACAGGTTTTCTCTTCTGTCTGGGCCTAACGTGGAACACATGGGGGGGGAAACGCGCCTTCCGTGGGGTGTCCGTCCATCCATCCATCCCTCCATCCCTCCATCCCTCCATCCCTCCACCCCCCATCCCGGGGGCCACCGCTCGGCTCCAGATGGACCCTCCGCCATATGGAGGAGGCGCGGGGGGGGCCCCACAACCCCCCCATCGCGCCCCCTCCCCACGCAGGAGACCCCCCCACCCCTCCCCCGGCTCCTTCCCCTCCCGACCCCACTCGTGGGCAGCCCCGGGGGGGTCCCCGCGCCGCGCCCCAAACGTTGCCGGCGGGATTTGCATAAAAGGGGCTTTAACCTCTGATTTTCTGGTTCCCTCCTCCCGCACCCAGACGCGCACACGCGGGGCGGCCCCGCCCGCGCTCCTGCCAAGCTCCTTTTTTTTTTACAGGCGCAAAACAAACGCCGGGAGAGAGCCAATAAGCTCCATAAAACTTTATAGGATTTCCTTTGACACGGGGGAAAACAAGGGAACAATTTCCTGAACCTGCAAAACAAAAGTTTCCTCCTCCGGCACCTCGGGCTGCCTTGAGGGGGGGGGAGGGGGGCAATTACCTCGGGGGGGGGGGAAGGGCTCAAATGGGGGCGGCTCCTCCTCCCCCCCGAGGGCTTTTCTTTTAATTCGCATTATTTTATTTGCTTGGCTGCTGCTCGCGGATTGTTCCACCCGGTTATTTGGCGAGCGGCGGAGATATTTAATTTTATTGGCGTGTAACACTCAGCGGCTAAAAATCCTCTTTTATTCGCCTCTTTTTCTGGCGTCTCGCCTGTCATTTCCCCGTCGGTTTGGGGTGAAATACTGCAAAGCCAAGCCAGGCTCGCCTCGCCTCGCACATTTATCTGCCGCCTCTCTCAGAGTGGCTCCCCCACTCGTGGGGCCCGCGGTGACGGCTCGGTAGCGATCGCAATCATCTCTTTTCCCTTTCTTTCCCCCCCTCCCTCTCCTTTCCCTTTTCCCGGTTTTTATTCTTTCCCCATGCTGCGTAAATCTATTGACTGGTTATTCAGGCACGAAACCCTCTCGGCGTGCGCTGGTAATTGCTCGTTATTCCGTTCAATTTTCTCTTAAGCAACGTCTTCCCCTCTCTCTCACCGGGGTTATTGCGGCGTCTCCGGGTTATTCTTTTTTATTCCCATTTCATTTCGCACTCCAACAACACTTTTTCCCCCCCCTTTCTCTCCTCTTTTGCTGTGAAAACTTGTCAGGGCAGCTCGGGAGGGGCAAGGCAAGGGTTAACCAGCTCCCGGCCCACGCGTGTTTCAGCTGCCACAGCAGGAAAAAAACCACCGCAACGACCCCAAACAAACCCAGAACTTCCCCCCAAACGCCCTCTTTAAATATCAAACTTCGGCGTTTCCACCCTGCGGAGCCGAGCGCGGCTGCTTATGATTAATTGTGGGCTTCTCCTGCCCCGGGGAGGGGGGAGAGGAGGGTCGGAGGGGGCTCCGCGCCCCTCACCCCTCCCTTTAAGGGGCATTTCTCTGGCTCTTGGGTGGGTGTTGTTGCTGCTGCTGCTGTCTGGGAGAGATTTGCCTCTTTAATTCCCCTCTCGGCCACTCGATCCCTTCCCAAAGAACTCAAGAAGGAAATAAAAAGGACTTACCTTGCCCCGTCATCCGTGTCAACCCCGTGAGAACTTAAAATGGCCCAGAAACAACAAACAACCCAAAGTTCCTTTTTTTTTTTTTTTCCTCCCTTTTTTATATATATATCTCTTTAATCCAGGGCGACTTTGGCTTTGTTTTCAAAAAAAAAAAAAAAAAGAAAACCAAGGAAACCAAAGAAAAACCCCAAAACCCCGAAACAAACCACCAAACGAACCAAACAAAAAAAAAAAGATAAAAAAAATAAAAAAAGCAAAGCTCTTTTATAGTTTCACCGCGAACATTAGGCAGAAAATACTCATGGCTTCTATGCGATTTTAGTAGTTTAAAACTTTTGAAGGTTATTTATGTGGATGGCCCTAAGCAAAAGCCCTGAATGGCTCTCAGGGAGCACGTGATGTCATTAAACTAAGTTTTATGGTTTGGGGGAGCTGACAAACCCACAATATATTTACATCATATATAATGTTAACTGTCCACCACCGCAGCTGCTAGAGCTGTTTAACGCCGGGACAGCGGGACAGGAGCTTTAGTGCGGAGCGCGGCGGCCGCGGGGCTCCCGGAGCGGCTCCTTCCCGGCCACCCCAGTAAGTTTTTTTTTTTTTTCCTCCTTCCTCGGGGCTCTTTTCTCCTCGCCAGTCTATATTTTTTTTTGTTTGTTTGTTTGTTTGGGTTTTTTTTTTCCTTTTTTTTTGGAGCGCGCGGGTCTCGGGAATGGCGAAAGGTTTTTTTTTTTTTTTTATAAAACCTTTCCCCCCCCTCCCCTTCCCCGGTGTCGGGCGTGGGAAAAGGGGTGGTTTGTGCGGCGCGCGGGGATGAACTGGAATGCGAGTTTTCTGCAGGCGAAGGATCTTATCGGGAAGGAATCTTCCCCCCCCCCTCCTCCTCTCCCGCCCCCTTTCCATCCCCAGGGCTGCTGGAGAAGAGATAAGGCCGAGGAAAGTCTCTTTATTACCGGTTCGGCAGCAAAACTCCCCCCCCTCTCCCCCTCCTGACCCCCCCCGGGGGATGGACTTAAAGTTTCACACCCCCCCCCAAAGATTATTCTGTTTTGGGGAGGGGTCCGGGGGGGTTAATTTGTGTTGGGAAAGGAGAGGTGAAAGGGGGAGAAGTAAAGGGAAAATAAAAAGGGGGGGGATGTCGGTGTGCGCTGGGAGGGGCGTGCGGGGGGCGGGGGGGGCGTGCGGGGTCGCGGCAGGTGAGAGGAGGGAGGGAGGGAGGGAGGGTCCCTGCGTGACCCCACGGCACTTTTTTTGGGGGGACACCCCACGCTGGGGGGGGAAATATGGGCTGTGAGGGGGGGCTTTGACCCCCCCACCCCCTCCCAGGGTGTTTGGTGACGGGAGGGGGTCAC